CATCCTCCCCCACTGCCCCCGCAGAGATCCCCCCCTGCTGTGGGTGGGAATGTCCCCGGAGCCTCCCCTGTGTCCTTGCTCTCCCAGCCCAGGGAAAGGGCAACTCCCCCGCCCGGGGCGGAGGCAGAGCCCGAGGAGATGCTGCAGCTCCTTCCCCTGCCCCTCACCCCCTCCCTGCCCCCAGGAAGGGCATTGCTGGGGGGGTCTGTGGCAAGGTGACCGTGGGTGCCACGTGTGGTGCCACACTTGGTGCCCACGTAACCCCCAGTTTCCTATTTTGGGCAGGGAGATGAAGACCAGCCCTGAGTCCCTCTGCTCAGACACCCAATACCTGACTCCAAAAGCCTTTTTCTTTGCCCAGGTTCCTTTTTCTTCCAAGAATGGAGCATTTCAACCCCCAACCCACCCATATATGCTTCGCTCCTAACTCCTTTTCCTGTAAAAATACTTGTCTTATCTCTTGTCTTTCCTTTCTGCGAGTGGGCTGCCATAAATTACCACGAGCAGACGGCTCTGGAAGCACTTCCAGGGCCATTTGCTGCAGATTTCTCTCTGCCTTTGGCTGTTCTTAATAAATGGTGCCCAAAACATAACAGAAGAAAGAGGAGGAATGTGCCTTGGATTTCTGTGAGAGGCAGAGAGGGAGTTTCCCATGGGAACACCAATCTGCAAAGCTTTTGCCACATCTCCTAAATGCTTTTTAAATCAACTTTTTCCCTTCTTTCCTTTTCCTTCTCCATCGTGGTGAAAATCTGCCTTGATGACTTGCCACTCGGGTTCCCCTGTGCTTCCCTGACCCCCTCTTTTCAGGGGTGTACCCCAGAAGTGTCCAGCACCTCAGAATGGGCTGTGGAACTCCCTGCTGCAGGTTGGCCTTGCCCCCGAGCCTCTGCCTGGGTTGGAAAGAGATGAAGTGCTTCTGTGGGTGACAAGAGCATCCCCAATAAGAACAGTAAATATTGAAAGTCCTCAAGGGTTTTTAAGAGCCCTAAATCCTCCTGCTTTATGGCTTAGTTGCCTCTCTCCTTGGGAAGCATCTGTGCATCCCCAAAATCTCATCCTAGCTCGTTGCCAAAAGGTTTCTGTGCTTCCCTCCAGAGCATCTTTGGAAGAACCAGGGACCAAAACTGGGGGGGAAACACCAGTCTGCAGCCTGGCCCTCTGGGTGTCCTTGCACTTCCCACCCCCTGCTCAGCTCCATGGAACAAACTCGTTCCCACTGCTCTGCTTTGCAAATGTTGTGTGGGTCAAGTGGAAGATTTTTCTTGGCTCCGACCCTGCAGGTCCTTGCCAAGTATGTGGTTTATTGCATGCAAATGTTGGTCAACAGTTACATTATCCAAAGGGAGCCTTTTTTCTTTCTTTTTCTTTATATTTTTTTAGCTTTAAATAAATGATCTGGCACAACCCAGTGTAAATGTTGTGTCAGCATCAGGCACCCTTTAATCTTGCTGGATATATTCGCGGTGGAGCGTGACACTGATTGACAGCCATGAAATGATGCTCCCTGTTCCTAGCTGCCTGCAAACAGGAGTTCTGCTTCGTTAGGGCTGATTAAAACTCCACCTCTCCATCCTTAGGGTGGCATTTTCTTTTTCTTTTCTGTCTCAATCAAGGGGCTGTTTCTCCCTGGCAAACCTGCCGTGGTGATTAATGCTTGGACACTCGTGGGTGATTTGGTTATTCAAAGGGTACAGCCCTTTTTTTTTCAGTCCTGGTGTTTTGTGTTTGGGAAGGGATGAAAAAGAAATAGAAAAACTCAACTGGAAGTCTATCCATGAAAAAAAGCAGTTAGGGTTGCAGAGAAGAGGTTGGGAAGGAGAGGAGGGAGGGCAGTGCTCACAAACCAGGAGATTTCTTCACTGCAGAGGAGCTGGAGCTGCTTCCCTGCATCCCTGCCTCCAACCAGCACTGATGGCAGCCCCAGGACCTGCTCGGGCACGTGCCCACGCTGCCAAAATCCTGTGCCTGTGTAGCACCAAACTCTGGCATTCAACAGCTTCTTGGTCTGGGTTCTGAACGAGGCAGGACCCTGCTGCTGGCAGGATTAGTGCAGGGGGAGGAGTGGAACCTGCTGAGCTGCTGGAGGATTGCACTGGGGAGGATCCACCACCAGCCTCCTAAAGCAAGGGGAGCTCCCCTGAGATCTCATTTTGCCTTGACTTTTAGTTTGGGGGTTGGTTTGGGTGTTTTTTTTTAAATTTTATTTTAAAGCTACTGAAGTAGAAAATGAAATGCTCATAGTGCAAAACTCTGGAAGCCACTGGGGCTGTGTTTAAACTGTGGGATTAGGGGTAATTTGGAGGTGATGAAGTATTTCACTATATAAGCTCTTACTTTTGGGACATAGTCACTGATTTTGTGCTCATTGGGTGGTGAAGGGGGTTAGAGGGTGCTCAGTGGGGGTCTGTACCTGGCTGGATGAGGGCTGGAGCAGCATTGGGTGCTGAGCACCTACAAATAGCAGTGGAGGGTGTTTTCCCACCTGCAAACCTGCTGAGCTGGTGCTTGTGATGATGCTTTGCAGAAAACTCCCTCGAGTGCAGCATCTGCAGCAGTTGTTCATGACAAGCTGCTCCTGGGGAGACTGTCCTGGTCATTTTGTGGCAAAAAAAAGGGGTGAAAAGACAACCCAAATCCAGGGAGAACAAAAAACCACAGAGGCAGCTTGTTTCTAATAAAGGCTCTGCACTCTTTATTCCAAAGGACAACGCACATCAGATAAAATAGTATCAAAAAATATGTACAAAAATAGCAACTATTTGCACAGGACTTGCTTGATAGCAGCAAAGTTAAGTATGAGCAGTTGGGTGTTGAAGCAACAAGAATTACTGCTTGTAATCCATCAGTAAGGGGAAAAAAAAGCAGCTAGGATACATTTTCTCAAAGAAGCTTCCAAGAAGTTCAGTTTTGGCTCATTTTCAGTCCACAGCTAATTCTCCCAGCCCAGTTCCCAGCAGAACGTCCCCATCCCTGCTGCTCCTCCACTGCCTGGGCGAGGGACACCCCGTGATCCCTACCCAGGGGGGGTCAGAGCTGCTAATCCAGTGTGTTTAGTGCAAAAATAGTGCCCCTGCCTCAATTTAAGCAGCATCCCAAAGGTCTGGGTGTGGATGAGCCCACGGGATTTTGGCAGGACCCCTCGGGAGGGATGCCTGCCCTGTGGGGGCTTGGCTTCGAGGACATAAGGGCCACAAGGGCTCTTTTTTTGTTGTTCCAAGCAGCAGATAAGCCAAGTGCAAAGTGGAGAAGCAGCAGGGATGGGGTTGAAACACATTGCAACAGTGGAGGGGCGATGGCCTCGCCGGAGGAGGGAGTGGGCAGGGGGGGGACGCAGCATCCGAGGGCAGGAGCTGGCAGAAAAATGTTATCTGAAGATATTAAGGGTTACTTTCAGACAATTAGAAAGCAACTGCTTGTCCTCCCGATGGAGCGAGCTGCTTTGATAGCAGGAGAAAGTGCAGAGCTGCCCCAAAGGGCTGGGGTTGGTGTGTTCTCCTCTCCCTGCCCTCCCTTCCCTTGGGTTTTCCCCCTGCCACGCACCCTCAGCAGCCTCAGCTCTGCTGTACCCGGGAGTTTGCAAGATCTGGATCAGCTAGCAAGGCAAAAGATCCCTTTCCAAGGCAAAAGATCCCTTTCCAAGGCAAAAGATCCCTTTCCAAATCATCTCATCTCAGCAGTTTCTTAACATCTGTATTTCAGTTGTATTTCCCTGACGTTGGACCCCAGGGATGTTTCATTTCAAAAGACCAGGCACCCCAGGGACCTTTCTGGAGGTTCACAGGGAAGAAACCTCCACCTATTTTCATTTCAGGAGATTAAATTCGTTCCAGCAGAGCTATGCTGATTCACACCAGCTGAGAAAAAGCAGGAAGAAAAAGGAAGAAGTGTTTCCTCTCTGGGAAATCTCCCTTATTTCTACACTTTCTCCCATGGACTCGGTGGCATCTGAAGTTTTAAGTAGGATTAGTTCCCCCCCCCAAATTATCTTTGTTACTCTGCTGGGGCAAATAGTTCTCTCACTAACAAAAAAACCCACTTGGGAAGGTATCACCCTTGCTGCCCTGATGCCTCAGTGCTGGGAACTGGGCTGGTTTCACTTGCACCCGGGGAGTTTGCTGGGAAATTTGAACTCTTTGAGCTGTTGCTATTTTCAAGAGCTTAGATGGGAACGTTCAAACAGCGTCAGCACCCGGATATGCAAAACTCATCTGTCATTGTGCTATTGTCCCTGTTCCCCAGGCTTTCTGCTTTGGCTCTGGAGGCACCGCTTGGCATCTGGGCTGTGGAAGGGCAGAGGGACGGGTTTGGGTGGGGGGAAGTTGGCACAGCTCCATCCCAGTTGGTGCAGCCACCTTCCCTCACACCCTGGCTGCAGCTCCGTGCCCGTCGGGCACTTCACGTTGTTGGCTTGGTGGAAAAGGGTTTAATTTTCCTTAAATTCACCCCCCAAAGCCCCTTGTGTTGCCCCAGGTGGAGGCTGCAGTGCTGCAGGGGCTCTAAATCCCCTCTGGACCATTAACAATTGGGGCATCAGTGGCAGAAATGCAATTTTTTTGAATTTATTTCTACTTTAAGCCTGCTTTTTAGACCAGCTGATGGCCCAAGTGACCAGTTCAGTGCCAAGTCTCAGCACAGGGGCAAAGGCAACTCAGGAGGGGCAGAGAGGGGTGATTGCAACCTGTGGGGCTTGAATCCCCCTCTCCAGAGCTGGCCCATCCCTTTCTGCCCCCAGAAAAGCCTCCAGCATTTCTCAGCTGCACATCCACCCTCGAGCAGTGCTGTTGAGTGTGCTGAATTTGAACATCTTTCAGCTGTTTTAGGTGCTTTTGGGGTTGGTTTTTTTTTAATAGTTAGCAACGAGAGAGGCTTGTGCAGCATCTAGACCCTTCTCCTCACTACGAGCTCCCCCCTCTCCTAATTAGCACTAGAAACAGCAGCGCGGCGTTAAAACCCCCAGGGTTTTAGAGAAAAAAAAGATGTTTTCTGCTTAAAAACAATCACCACCACGAAGCACTCCAGCTATTCAAGTAGTAGAGGCAGGGCAGGTACTGCCAGTTGCCCCGCAGCGAGAGCAGGGATGCCCCAGGGAGCTCTGCCCCTTTCTGCCCCACCATCTGAGCGTCCAGTTTGCTGATTTCGGAGGCGACCTGTTTCCTCTTGGTTTTATACCTCCTGTTCTGGAACCAGATTTTCACCTGGGTCTCGGTGAGCTGCAGGTTTTTGGCCAGGTGAGCTCGCTCTGGAGCCGACAGGTATTTCTGGTGGCTGAATTTCCTCTCCAGTTCGATGACCTGGGTGTGGGAGAAGGCGGCTCGGGAGCGTTTCGCCGGCTTGGGGGG